TTTTTTTTTTTTTTTTTTTTTTTTTTTTTTTTTTTTTTTTTTTTTTTTTTTTTTTTTTTTTTTTTTTTTTTTTTTTTTTTTTTTTTTTTTTTTTTTTTTTTTTTTTTTTTTTTTTTTTTTTTTTTTTTTTTTTTTTTTTTTTTTTTTTTTTTTTTTTTTTTTTTTTTTTTTTTTTTTTTTTTTTTTTTTTTTTTTTTTTTTTTTTTTTTTTTTTTTTTTTTTTTTTTTTTTTTTTTTTTTTTTTTTTTTTTTTTTTTTTTTTTTTTTTTTTTTTTTTTTTTTTTTTTTTTTTTTTTTTTTTTTTTTTTTTTTTTTTTTTTTTTTTTTTTTTTTTTTTTTTTTTTTTTTTTTTTTTTTTTTTTTTTTTTTTTTTTTTTTTTTTTTTTTTTTTTTTTTTTTTTTTTTTTTTTTTTTTTTTTTTTTTTTTTTTTTTTTTTTTTTTTTTTTTTTTTTTTTTTTTTTTTTTTTTTTTTTTTTTTTTTTTTTTTTTTTTTTTTTTTTTTTTTTTTTTTTTTTTTTTTTTTTTTTTTTTTTTTTTTTTTTTTTTTTTTTTTTTTTTTTTTTTTTTTTTTTTTTTTTTTTTTTTTTTTTTTTTTTTTTTTTTTTTTTTTTTTTTTTTTTTTTTTTTTTTTTTTTTTTTTTTTTTTTTTTTTTTTTTTTTTTTTTTTTTTTTTTTTTTTTTTTTTTTTTTTTTTTTTTTTTTTTTTTTTTTTTTTTTTTTTTTTTTTTTTTTTTTTTTTTTTTTTTTTTTTTTTTTTTTTTTTTTTTTTTTTTTTTTTTTTTTTTTTTTTTTTTTTTTTTTTTTTTTTTTTTTTTTTTTTTTTTTTTTTTTTTTTTTTTTTTTTTTTTTTTTTTTTTTTTTTTTTTTTTTTTTTTTTTTTTTTTTTTTTTTTTTTTTTTTTTTTTTTTTTTTTTTTTTTTTTTTTTTTTTTTTTTTTTTTTTTTTTTTTTTTTTTTTTTTTTTTTTTTTTTTTTTTTTTTTTTTTTTTTTTTTTTTTTTTTTTTTTTTTTTTTTTTTTTTTTTTTTTTTTTTTTTTTTTTTTTTTTTTTTTTTTTTTTTTTTTTTTTTTTTTTTTTTTTTTTTTTTTTTTTTTTTTTTTTTTTTTTTTTTTTTTTTTTTTTTTTTTTTTTTTTTTTTTTTTTTTTTTTTTTTTTTTTTTTTTTTTTTTTTTTTTTTTTTTTTTTTTTTTTTTTTTTTTTTTTTTTTTTTTTTTTTTTTTTTTTTTTTTTTTTTTTTTTTTTTTTTTTTTTTTTTTTTTTTTTTTTTTTTTTTTTTTTTTTTTTTTTTTTTTTTTTTTTTTTTTTTTTTTTTTTTTTTTTTTTTTTTTTTTTTTTTTTTTTTTTTTTTTTTTTTTTTTTTTTTTTTTTTTTTTTTTTTTTTTTTTTTTTTTTTTTTTTTTTTTTTTTTTTTTTTTTTTTTTTTTTTTTTTTTTTTTTTTTTTTTTTTTTTTTTTTTTTTTTTTTTTTTTTTTTTTTTTTTTTTTTTTTTTTTTTTTTTTTTTTTTTTTTTTTTTTTTTTTTTTTTTTTTTTTTTTTTTTTTTTTTTTTTTTTTTTTTTTTTTTTTTTTTTTTNGTTTTAAATTCGAATTTGTTATTGCGTATTGGTTCGATTATAGAACGATTGTAAACGTTTCAGAAAATTGATCAAATTGAAAATAGTTCGTTTGATTTTCGGCAATTCTCTTCAGCGGTAGGTGTTATATAACAATTACTATGGTTATTGAAATATTGGATGTAAATGGGGTTTGCTTGCAAAACCTCCGCTGACGAAGTCGCGGGTAACAGCTAGTACAGTATAATTTTAGTTTAATTTTTAAAATGACAGATGAAAATCTATTTCCCTTTAATTAATAAAATGGATTGGAAATAGGAAAAGGAAGTAATTTATACTTCAAGTAAAGCGAAACTTCAAAATTTATGAGACTCAACGGGAAATTTATAACCATATTCAGAATTGATAGACCCATCACTTGATAAATACACCAGTTTCATTTTAAAACTTTCTAATTCTGTCGATTATTATCGTATCATTTTGTTTCTGTATCACGTTCCCTCTCCGGTTACAGACAATTTATAACATATTGCTTTCATCATCGATACAAAATTCCTATTTTAACTGTATGAAGTATTTTTGTAGTATTAAGTCTTATGCAGTTCGAAATTTATCCTAATTTATCACATCAAGTTTATGAGAAATTAGAATTCGATTTACGACGGTTTTCGAGGAACCAATTAGACGTAAAAGGGGGTGTTCGATATCGTTCATCTTTATGGAGAATTTGATACAATTTTATTGTTATATTGGACATAAAAGCAGACAAAATGGCATTTATCATTACAAAGCATAAGAATCTTCTCGGAAGAATGATCATAACAGGATTTCAAATAAGATATTAGAAAAATAAACTTATACATCAAACTGATGCTTTAATAAAGTTTTTAAACTTTAATATCTATAGATATTAAAGTTTAATCTATAAGATCTGTAAGTGTTTTTATATTTACAACAAGAAACACTTACATTTCGCTTGGGAATTTACGAAGCGACAACAAATGCATTTTTTTTTCTGTATTACGATACTTTAAAGGTCACAAGTAAGTAATGTAACCAGAGAATGAAAAAAGCTGTTATATTAATAGGATTATAAAATGGAGTTCTTACAATTTAAAGTAGTTAATTACTCTCATAAAAAAAGCATAACCGTTAATTTAGCCTATATGTCAGGAACTACCGATGGGACAGCGTAAAACTTAACATACAAGAAGAGTGTTGTGAGGGGTACCGTTACTCACGAGTACACAGAGATATCCGTTGCAACATGGTGGAGAACAATGTGGCAATTAAGCATAATGCCGTACCACCACCTTCAAACTGGTCTCTTTCAATGATGTTCATGATAGAGTTCTCTCCAGATTTTAATGTGACAAATGCAATCTGCAAAATGATTTCATGTATTAGAAGATTTTACTTATTTTTTGGACGCGGGTGTCGTATAATATATGAAATAACATGTATTATATTAAGTAATTCTGAAACCTTTTAATTTAAATGGAGATTGATTACTGAAACTATTTTAAATGAAGCATCAAACAATCATTGATCAAAAACAAAGTTCTTGAATATTCGCTAATAGTTTGAATTCCTCTTCTATTGTTAATATTGCTAGTTCGATAGTATATATTCCGTTAGCTATGTCATGTTTATGTTCTAGAGATATAAAGTNTTACCTTCAGGTGAAGCCCATGGCAAATTAGAAGGTCTAAGTATTCCTTCTTGTTTAACTGGAGAATATTTATACAGTACTTGAGACTGGTGGGGCATCTCCAGTCTTGATTGCATTAAAAGGAGAAAATTTAAAACTAAAAAATGTCTGAAAATATGCAAAAAGTTATTCAAGTGACAGACCAAGACTAATGAAGTCTGTAGCTTCTGTAGTTACTATTAGAAATTGTAATTTGGAAATTGACATCCCAGATACTGGGTTAATTACTAAAATTAAATGACAACATGAATTTGTGATTGACAGACTTAAAATCTTCCTGCAAAAATATAAGATATCCTTAAATTTAAGATTGGCTAGAAATAAACCTTTGGCCATAGAGGGCAGATACTGCAAGACAAATGAAAACTAAGTCATTGACAATTCTGGCATTAAACAAACTATTTACTAATAAGGCCTCTGCTTTAATTTAATCTATAGTTTATCCTCTTACCTTTGCCCTATGTAGAGTTAGAAGTTTTCAGAATGGTTTTATTTCTAATTTGTTCGTTTGCAGGGCAGTCTCTTGAATAATGCCCAAGTATAGCATCACAAAGGAAATCTTTGAGTCATATTAGGAGCCCTTACCATAGGAGGTCTTGGAGTCTGTGTGCACTCAGGAATGATTTGTTTTGAATCTTCAGTTTTTAGCAAGAAGGTTGTTGATTGGGCCATTTTCTTCGAAATTCATATTCTTTTGCAGTTTGTTATTCTCTATATACTCATGTAACTTTATCCATTGCATAATGGCTCAAATGCCTCTAATTTCTTTATCCCTGGCGAGGTGTATTCCAAATGCACTGTTCGACATCAGGTGCACCATCATAGATTTGGCTGAAGAATTTCTTTGTCTGCTGCCAGCTATTACATCTCTTTAACTTCCACCATTTGGCAGGTGGACCTTCTAATATGAAGGCAGTTGTATTGACCCAATGGCTACTTGAGAGTCAATTATTGAGGATCTTAAACAATATTTATTAAATTGATGATCACTACTGGGGACGCAGTTGCACAAGTTGGAATGCTATCTTCCAGATCAGTTTGGTTCACGGTGATACTTGTTATAGAGCCAGGAACTCCTCACGAGTAATGGTATTTTCACCAGACATTGGTATATTTGTTGTCCTCATTTCCCAAGCAAAAGAATCTAATCTTAAAAGAAAAATTCAAAGTTTTTAGCAAGAAGAAAGATGATACTATATAACTAGACTGTATTTTGTAAAAATATGTAAATCAGTAATAATCAATCAGATTTTGTATAAAATTATTGAACAAATAATAAGCAAACTGGCTTTTACATCATGCTCATTGAGTATTGCAAGTAACATATTGATTATGTAAGTCACTAAATTTTCTGACAATTAAAATACAGTATTTAGATAAAATCTTTTTTACCTGTATACAAAATCAATATGTTTATGAAATAGTATGAAACGGTTCCACTTAGTACTGTATGAATGAACCTTATCACAAGCTGCAGTAATAGCTTGCATTCAATGAATATTGCAAACATGGTAATTTACTCTGTTATACATTAATTCTTACTTTCAAAGGATGTACTATACAATATTATGTAAATTTTTATTTGTTTACTTTATTGTACTGTATTAAACTTTTAGGAATTACAAAAATGTTAAGTTTTTCATAACCCTAATTATACAGCAAAACCTCATTTAAGTCAAGAGTTTTTTACTTAATTTTTAGCACTTTCTCATATATATATATTAATTTGAATATTAGGTAAGAAATCTATGAAGCGTAAACTACTTGCTTCAGATTCATCACATTTTGATAAAAAAGCAAAAATTGATAGTCAGCCTGGAACACCAACAATGGCCAAGTAAATCAGTTTTTTACATTTTTAATTTTAATAACGTTTAAACAATATTACATAATTATAAATTAATTCTTACTTTTTGTAAAGCTCTTCCGATGGAATTACAGAAGAAGCCGTGCGTAGATATCTCATGAGGAAGCCAATGACTACAACTGAACTTCTACAGAAGTTTAAGAGCAAGAAAACTGGTTTGACTAGTGATCAATTAGTTACTACAATAGCAAAAATTCTGAAGAAACTTAATCCAGAGAAACAAAAAATAAAAGGAAAATTGTATTTATCTATAAAGCAACAGCAGTAAAGATAAGTAATGTTGATTGGAAAATTGTTTATGTTAAAAATAAATATGAAAGTTTTATATGATTTTATGAATTCATGTAACTAAACATGTTTTGTTTTTCTTAATTGGAATTTTACACATTAATACTCAAAGTAATTTTTTTCAAATTAGAAATTAAATTTTACTTTCAAAAATGCTCATAAGCAAATAAAAAAAAAGTAATAATAAATAGAAAATACGGAATTACCGTACAGTGTTATGGGGAGTCGACTGTACTATTAAATTAAGCATTCTTATATTTTTGAGATCTTAACACTTATTTTTGCACATTGTGCTTTTTCTGTGAATGAGCATTACAGTTTGAAAGAATGAAAATTTAAATATTTTAGTAATCTTCCATACTTCGTGAAATATATAAATATAATCTACATTGCTCCATTATTATTAATACACAGGTAAATAAATATACTGATAGGCTGTGTAATAAATTCATGATAAAAAATTGCTTCCTGATTTATGAGTTACTTGTAATTTATAAAAAGAATCAATTGTCATTTTGAATTTTTTGTTTATACAAATGATGATCAGGTATACATTTTACAAGCATTCTCTTATCAATTCTAAATGAATTTATTATATAACCTAGTACTTAAATTAGGGAGACACGAGACCTCGGTGAAAGGGCAAACTACCATTTTTAACATATTAAATTTAAATAAAAAAACTAAAATGTCATGATATAGAAAATTGCCATGTACAAAAATCGTGTTAAATGTTATATTTTTCCTTGGTAAAAAACATTGTTTATTAATACTTAAATTTTTAATTACTTTGGCCATTAGGAATGCCTCTATTCATCATTTCTGTTGTCAGAAGACACTGTAAATATTAATTAAACTTCTTGTATATTTTAGTTTTAATAAATTTTAAAATACTTTATGAACATAAGACTACAATATATTAATAAAAATTCATGATCTATTTAATTTATAATTATTAGATTTAAGGAGACTGCAACAAAAAATGAGAAACACTAAGCAAAACAAAATTTTTAATAATAGAAACTCACAATAGTAATCAATGAAAACTCAATTAAATTTTGATAAAAATATCAGTTTTTAGGCAATTTATAAGTTTGTGATTTGGAGATGTATAGTTCACAATTAAAACAAAACTGATGTTTGTACGAAAAACAAATTCCTTTCTTTGATAGCTAAACTCGCATCAATACAATTATAGTTGTAGATATACATGTACAGCTATAAATGTTGAAATTTCTGTTTCATATCTCCAAATTGCAATATTTTTGTAGAGCATTAGCATAGCACAGTAGAGTCTCGAAAACTTGGCCTAATTTGGACCGAAGGGTGGCAGAGTTTATGAAAATGCCGGATTATCGGGAATGGGGTTAAAAAAAAATAAGTATGAGTGTTTCCTCAGAAAATACTGTACTGTACTCGTATGTATTGTTTACTTGAGAATACAACAGAGAATAAACTGCCCAAATACCCTTAAACAAAGGAAAAGTACATACTTTATGAAGGCATAGAGCCTTTACTACATGAAAATGAAAATTAATGAATAAACTGTGTACACTAATTTACCTGATAAGACAGACCTCAGAAAAATACTTTATGAGGCATAAAGCTGTCTATAATGAAAATTAATCAACTAAGGATTTTTTTGCCCTGCCAGGGTGTGGCTGAGTTATCCGGACTGCAAGATTATCGAGTGCCAAGTTTGAGACTACTGTATTTAATAACTGTTTACACTGATTTTTGACAATGAACAAGATAATACTATATTTAGTACTGAAGAATTTGTTACATGGATATATCTCAGAAAAATTATTTGATTTATTAAATTCTACATACATTAAGAAATTATAGATTTATTTGTATTAATATATATATATATCCTTACAGCATTTTAGATATCAATATTTTATCTAAATGAACTCAAAGAATTTTGTTAGAAATCTTGATGTCCTCTATCCATTTCTGATTTTTATGGTATTATTGTATGAGACATGTCATTAGTTTCTAGATTATAATAAATATGCACATTAATTGAAAAGAAGAAAGAGAAATGTTTATTAATTGAATTAATGTTGTATGATATAGATTGATTTTCTTCTTCTCAATATTTTTACAATTGTTTTAAGGAATGAAAGGTCCTTTGTCTTTCTGCAAGAAATTTAAAATCAAACAGAATAATCTTTGGTTTTGATGGCAGTAAGATATAAAATAATGACGACAAAATTAAAATTCATAAATTGATGTATGGAAACTAACTAAAAAGATAAAAATGCGAATTTCTAAATTCAGAGAGAAAATTCTTAGAAAAACTAATTATTTTGGAAGATTACTACAAAAATAACCATAATGAGTAATGATAGTGACTATCATTGTCAGATATTTAATATTCGATGAGCACAGTAACTTAGTGTTGAGTATTCCTTATTGTAGTTATGTTCTTTATGATGAAAAATTTATTATTATTATTATTTTTTAAAATTGTCATGTATACTTTTCATAGACCTACCTATGACCAACTACAGGTGTTCAGTGGTTTCATACACTCAATGAGCTAGCCACCTGGAATTTTCCAAGTTTTCTTCACAAGTGTAGCATAGAAAAAGGTTGGCCATCCCTGATTTAGATGTAAGGGTCACATTTAAAACTTTTCTGTCTTGTTTGGGGCCCACATAAGTTTAAAAGAAAACAAAATTGAGCAAATCACAATTATTTATTCATATATGATTATAAATTAACATAAGTATACTTAATTTGACTTCTATCACTGATATAAACATAATATATCTGAAATATTTGATTGAATATTAGTTAGTAAAAATTTAGTAAAAAGTGAAACAAGAAATCGGCTAACAGACTGTCATCAAAACTAATTTAAAACTGGCAGTGACTAAGTTACAGTAAATAACATTAAAATTCTTGCTGCACACTTTCTTAAAGTCTGGAAATTGATAGATTTATTAATATTTTATATTTAGATCAGGGGTGGGCAATCCCTGATCTAAATAGAGGCCAGTTTCCTATAGAAAGTTCTCTAAGCAGGTTGTGTTGTTTTATCAGTCTGGGATTTTCTGGATTTAATCTGGAATCGAATCCAGACAGGCCAAAAAACTCCACATGGCCAGCTTGTTGGTGAGGCATGGACCCCATGACCAGTGTTCAGTGGTTTTTATCCACTCTGTCATTGATGGCTCAAAGAAAGAAAAAAAAAGGGAGAAGAACTGCTAGAATCATATATTTATCAAGCATTAAAATAATGATCAAATATAACTAATAAATGCACAATTAATTGTAACAACCAATTTATGGCATAATCAATACGAACATAACATATGCCAAAATCCTGGAGGGTTTATATTCTAAAATTGTTGGAACAACTGATAAATAATAAAATTAATTTATAAATTTCAATGATGCCATTTATAATATAAACCAATTTTTTTATTCCAATTATAGTTTTTTTAATGTAAATACTTTTTAAATTATGCTCAATTTATGAGTTTTCATTGTTTCTTCCTGATTTTTATTTATAAACTTATATACTGCACATTTTTAAAATGCCAATTGAAATTTTTAAAATATTAATTTGTAAAGCATTAGTTTCCAGTTAGTACTGAAGATGAATTAAAGATGAAAATTTTTTAATTGAAATTTAATTTAGTTTTTTGAATGATTTCAATCCAAAAAAACTTTTCCCTGAATGGAGTTACATAGCTGACCTATCAAAATTTTTCCCTGAATGGAGTTACATAGCTGACCTATCAAAATTTTTCCCTGAATGGAGTTACATAGCTGACCTATCAAAATTTTTCCCTGAATGGAGTTACATAGCTGACCTATCAAAATTTTTCCCTGAATGGAGTTACATAGCTGACCTATCAAAATTTTTCCCTGAATGGAGTTACATAGCTGACCTATCAAAATTTTTCCCTGAATGGAGTTACATAGCTGACCTATCAAAATTTTTCCCTGAATGGAGTTACATAGCTGACCTATCAAAATTTTTCCCTGAATGGAGTTACATAGCTGACCTATCAAAATTTTTCCCTGAATGGAGTTACATAGCTGACCTATCAAAATTTTTCCCTGAATGGAGTTACATAGCTGACCTATCAAAATTTTTCCCTGAATGGAGTTACATAGCTGACCTATCAAAATTTTTCCCTGAATGGAGTTACATAGCTGACCTATCAAAATTTTTCCCTGAATGGAGTTACATAGCTGACCTATCAAAATTTTTCCCTGAATGGAGTTACATAGCTGACCTATCAAAATTTTTCCCTGAATGGAGTTACATAGCTGACCTATCAAAATTTTTCCCTGAATGGAGTTACATAGCTGACCTATCAAAATTTTTCCCTGAATGGAGTTACATAGCTGACCTATCAAAATTTTTCCCTGAATGGAGTTACATAGCTGACCTATCAAAATTTTTCCCTGAATGGAGTTACATAGCTGACCTATCAAAATTTTTCCCTGAATGGAGTTACATAGCTGACCTATCAAAATTTTTCCCTGAATGGAGTTACATAGCTGACCTATCAAAATTTTTCCCTGAATGGAGTTACATAGCTGACCTATCAAAATTTTTCCCTGAATGGAGTTACATAGCTGACCTATCAAAATTTTTCCCTGAATGGAGTTACATAGCTGACCTATCAAAATTTTTCCCTGAATGGAGTTACATAGCTGACCTATCAAAATTTTTCCCTGAATGGAGTTACATAGCTGACCTATCAAAATTTTTCCCTGAATGGAGTTACATAGCTGACCTATCAAAATTTTTCCCTGAATGGAGTTACATAGCTGACCTATCAAAATTTTTCCCTGAATGGAGTTACATAGCTGACCTATCAAAATTTTTCCCTGAATGGAGTTACATAGCTGACCTATCAAAATTTTTCCCTGAATGGAGTTACATAGCTGACCTATCAAAATTTTTCCCTGAATGGAGTTACATAGCTGACCTATCAAAATTTTTCCCTGAATGGAGTTACATAGCTGACCTATCAAAATTTTTCCCTGAATGGAGTTACATAGCTGACCTATCAAAATTTTTCCCTGAATGGAGTTACATAGCTGACCTATCAAAATTTTTCC